GAACCTTTAAACTTAATTACTCATTTAAATCATTCTTTGAACAAAATTATCGAGTCATCTTGCCCATTGGACAGCCCAATTTCTGGATGGACGGCCCATCTCTTGGTTTTGCAATTTATTTTTTTTATTTTATTTTATTTATTTATAGTATTTAGAAAAACACAGCGGGAGAAGGAGAGGGGAGAAAGGAGAGTGGGCAAGCTAGGGTTTTGCAATTGATACAGAACTTCTACGGACACGATGAGCAGGAGCTTGGGTATACCGGTAAAGCTTCTACACGAGGCCGCCGGCCACGTCGTGACGGTGGAGCTCAAGAGTGGGGAGCTCTACAGAGGAAGCATGGTCGAGTGCGAAGATAACTGGAATTGCCAACTCGAGAATATCACCTACACTGCTAAGGTACACAACGCTCCCCCTCTGGCGCCTCCATTTCTATTTCCTTTCTGTGCTTGAAGAACCCTAGATTTTGATCTCGGTTAGGCGCAATGGAGATTTGTTTTTTTTTTTTTTTTCTTTTATGGTATTGTTTAGATTCGAGGACTTTATTTGTTGAAATCTGAAGATTCTTGAGTCGTGGAGTTAGTAGTATAAAACCGTAAACTTCCGCCATTGATGCTAGATTTGACCATGTTAGGTTTAAGAATGGTTAATTGTTAAACTAGAATGATTTTCTGGCTAATAATAGTTTCTTGCTCATTCTGATTGAGACTGGAGTTCTGTTGCATTTTTTTTCCTTTCTATTATGTATCTCCCAAATTAGTTAGTAATTAGTAGGTAGTACTATTTCCAAAGGTTTTTGAGTTGCAATCATATGCTTTATATCTTGTTAGGGCCATCTGATATAAATTCAATGCCACAATGTAACTTGCTGTTGAAATTTTGAAAGTGATATAGATATAACTTCAATGTTACATTTTTGGTGATTTTCTTTTCTTCTTTTTTTTCTTTGTTCCTCTTAAAAAAAAAATAAAAACAGAGAGGTAAAATACATCATATGTAAGTCATAATCAGAGCATTTGCTTATGGAAGATGCATTTTTTATATTTTGGGTTGGTTTTTATTTCTGTTTAATGCATATGGTTGACTGCTAAACTTGTTGGTCTTGTTCAGGATGGGAAGATTTCTCAACTTGAGCATGTTTTCATTCGAGGCAGTAAAGTCAGGTAATTGATCACTTTCTTTTTCTTCTGTGAGTTTAAGGTGTTTTTTCTTTTCTCTTGGGTTATGTTGCATTCAGAGGTTAACTTCATTGATTTGGAAATATGGTAAAATGTTCACAGGTTCATGGTCATACCAGACATGCTAAAGAATGCTCCCATGTTCAAGCGTTTGGATGCCAGAATTAAGGTATGCCTCCACTTCCTAATTGATTAGTATATCTCCAGTCCTTCCTTTATGATTTCTGTTTTCTGATCTCTTTCTTGACTACTTGAAGGGTAAGAGCTCATCTATTGGAGTTGGCAGAGGTAGAGCTGTTGCAATGCGAGCTAAAGTGAGTTTTTTCCTTTTCTCATACATTACAGCTTAAAATAATGATTTGTGTGTGGTGCTTGCCTTCTTACTCCTAATTATTTTTGCAGGCACAAGCTGCTGGACGTGGAGCTACAGCAGGTAGAGGTGTTGTACCATCTGTTCGTAGGTAACTGCCACTCTTGAAGCATTCTTTCTCCGTCCCTTCCGAGCTGGATAATGTTCGATGGTAGACCACCTGAGACATGTCTTGAGTTTTTTGGGTTCCTGCTTCGGTTATCCTGATAGCTGATGTAAAAGTAGGTTAAGAGGTTTAAATGTATTTTGTCTAGTGGACGAATGGAAAAGCTTATGTTACATTCTTAATGAATTCAAGTCACTCAGTTTATATACCCTGCATTGAAATTTGAAGTGGCATTGCTTCAGTTGGTTTATTCGTTCTGCTGTGCCAATATTTTTATGAGGATCTTGAGGC